AAAAAAAAAAATGTAAAGTGATATGGTATTAACAAGTTTTTTGACATAGAAATACAATCTTTTTTGCGAATTCGTTGTAATATTGCTCACTAATATACATAGGTACATATGTATGTATAAGCATATATAATTATTATTATATAAATACCCCAGTCGGCAAAAGCAGAAAATGCCTTCTAGGAGCATCTAGCTCTGATCTTTTGAATTCATAAGCTTCCGTACTCGATTCTTAACTTCCTTTGCATGCATACATTTGTAATGACCAGAGTTTCTGATTAGCTTCCATAAGAAAGGGAAGATTTATATGGAATAATAATAATGACGTAGTGTAGATTAAGCCTTGCACGAGACACGCATCAGTAACTCTACTAGGGTTACTCATACGCCACGTATCCACACATTTCAACAAACTTAATAAATGGCAATTGGTTTCGCGAAAGTGATTGGTTGACAATTTGTTCCTCTAAAATCTTAATAAATCTTAATACGATGAATGAAAAGCACACCCTCGGTGACATTAGTAGCACTGCTTCAAATGCCAATAGCGTTTTAAATATGTAGTCCAAATATTTCCTGAGATTTCTTAATTTTCAGAATAAGACGGTATGCTTTTTATCAGTTAGAAAATTATTTGGACCTTTACAGCCAGATTGTCTGGTATATTTGGTAAAATACCTTTTCGGCAAGTGTCGCGTGGCAGCGCTATTGAAAGATCTTCCACCGTCTTTTCTTTTGCCGGCTGGGGCATAAATATCTCGAGCTCAGCTTTTAAACTAATATTTATGCAGGTTATTTCTGCAGGACTAACCTACAGCTTAAATCATCAGGCTACCAGAACAAAATACGAGGAACCAAATCCACCCTGCTGCGGTACACCAAATCATATGTTGAGAGAAATATATTAAGCTAACGTAACTGAATTTGCGTTTGTTACACTTTGGGGAAAAAACGATCGAACTTCAAAACACTCGAAACTATCAATATACTCACAAAACTATGAACCAAATATAGGAATGCAGTGCGTAAATGAGTAAGTAAAAAATTATATCTTGAGGCGTATTGTAACGCGTTACTCCATCGATAAAGAAAGTAATCGCTTACCAAAAAAATAAAAGTTTTTGCTAGGTAGTTCTTTGTTTTTTTTTT